ACAGCGCCACTTCTGGTTTTCTGGTGGTTTATTGGAGATAGGAGTCTCACGGTCTCTCCTGCCTGGGCTGGCTTTGAACCGCAATCCTCAGATCTCAGCCTCCTGAGTAGCTAGGATTACAGGCGTGAGCCACCAGCACCCGGCTGGTTCTCTTTTAGAAGACTGGACACTTGAGTCCTCACTATCTTTCCTTACCAGAGTCTGTGGAAGGAGCCAGTGCCAGACCCACAGAAGTGGGTTCCTCCTCCTAGGGCCTGTTGTGGCAATCCTAAGGCCGCCTCCACCCCAAACTCCTTATCGAGAGTCGGGGTGGGCTCTTAATCTATGGCTGTCAGAACCTTGTCTGTTCTCTCTGGGGAAGCACATTATCATCCCCAAGCAGCTGACCCAGCACAGGTCTCCAGGCTGGCCTTGTTTACTGCGTGAGGGAGCTAGAAGCGTACTGGACCATCCTCAACTGATGTCTAACCCTGAGGCCAGGAAAGTCACCACCTGCTGCTGCTCAGGCAGAGCCCCTGTTCCCCCAGCTGGCCCTAGTGACACTGGTCAGATCTAAACCCAGTGACACTTACTTGATCACAGAGCAGTCTCGTGTAACAGGAGTACAAGAGCCAAGAGTAACCTCAAGATAAATCTGCCCCTCTGCGGTTTCCCTGGCCTGAAGTCAACCTTCCCTGAATGTCAGGCTTCCACTAAACAACAATGTGTCCTTTGAGACTGGAGCTTTTTAGGAAGCAATAGAAGTGGCAGGTATGGTGGTCCATGCCTGTACGCTCAGCACACAGAAGCCGGAGGTAGGAGGAGGGTGTGTTTAAGACCAGCATGGACTACATAGCAAGATCCTGTCCAAAATAAAACTAAACAACAAAAAAGACAGACGCAGCTGGGAGCCAGTGGCTCATCCTGTAATCCTAGCTACTCAGGAGGCTGAGATCTGAGGACTGTGGTTCAAAGATAGCTGGAGCAGAAAAGTGCTCATGAGACTCTTAACTACAATTAACCACTCAAAAATTAGAAGTGGAGTTGTGGCTCAAGGTGGTAGAGTGCTAGCTGTGAACAAAAGAGCTCAGGGACAGTACCCAGGCTCTGAGTTGCCCCATGACCAACAACAAAAGACAGATGCCAACTTTCAACAGCATACCCAAGAGAATAGCATTCTGTGATGGGCAAAAGAATGCGTGGGTCCAAAGTCTCTTTGCAACCAAAAAAGTAGGTCCTCTCTGCCTCTGAATGCAGGAGGAAGCATGTCCACTTTTAAAATTAGGTCCTTTAAGTACATGCCTAGAACATGTATCTCCAAAACTACAGGAAATGGAGCTCTTTATAAATTATACCCTGTGATACATGTTGGTACCCAAATACCCAATTCTACTTATGCTAAGATGCCCTGTCTTGCCCCCCTTCCCAGCCCTCCTCCCCAGTTCAAACACCCAGACCCCTGCTCTGACACAGCACACCAGCTACCCATCCTGCATTTAAATCATCTTGAATTAAATGAATAAGTATAGCTGCCTCCCTCTCTAGCCTCTATATTTTGGCCAAGAAATAACTAATCTAGGTCAAGTCAAAAGAAAATGTGCCTATGACCTCAGTAGGAACAGAGTCTGTATGGAAAAACTCAAGGAAAGCCAGGCATGGTGGCTTAACCCTGTAATCCTAGCCACTTAGGAGCCAAAGATCAGAGGTTCATAGTTAGAGGCTAGCCTAAACATGTAAATTCACGAGACTCCATCATAACCAAAGTCTACGTGAATGGTTGAACGTCTGACTGGTGCATGCACTAGACTTGAACTGGTGTCCAAATGGCAGCTGGGCACCAGCCGAAGACCTCCAGGCTGCAGCAGGATGTGCCTACACACCACTGCATTCTCCTGAGTGGCTAGCATGTGGCAAATGCAAGTTGTGCTTTTGGAATTTCTGCTATTTTTCCCCCTGCATAATTTCAAGCCATAGTTAAAAACCAGTAGAACCCAGAGATACACAGGGCGGATGCACATGCTTGCTGAAAGAATAAATGAGCAAAACTCAGTACCAGACTAAGGAACACCCACATGGGGGGGGGGCTGCAGGGGGTGCAGCAACTGTTACCATTTTGTATCCCTCAGGAATAGTAAGAAATAATGGCAAGGAAGGAAATACAATGGCCCCCACCGCCTACCCAGATTTCCTTCAATTCCATGACATCTACAGGTTGTCTGTGTGCAAGTGTAGTGAAACAACAAAACACAAAAGGGTGGATCTGAGAGGAAGATGCCAATCAGCAGCCTGGGAATTTTACCTTCTCTACACCAGAAGACGTCATCTGCTACTGTTTTTATTAAAGTAACAAAAGAAAAAGTACATTTGTCATTAAAGCTGTACATCTTTTTCCCATATAAAAACACTATCATACAATTAGTAACCTTTTGTCTTTTCTGTCAGAATAGCTTACAAATGTACTACTATTATTTTAGTTAACAGGAGACAGGTCTGCTCAACAGTCCAGCTCTGGGGGAAGGGGTTGTTGGTTTTAAAGTGAACATCAATAAGAAGAGAATCAAGAAAAGGTTAAGCGTGAGACCATGAGGCTGCTTCAAAAAAGACAGGAACCTGTCTGCAGACAGTTGTGACAACACAGTTTGCACATTTCACAGCTTTGTTTCAACCCACAGGCCGGAGAACAGCTTTTGGATCTGCGGGCCCAGAGTTAGAGTTAACATTAAAGCAATAAAGGTTCTACAAGCAGGGTCTACAATGGCAGAGGATTGCCGGAGAGTGGAAGGGTGGGAAGGAAGAGGGGGAGTTTGGTAAATAGCACCTTTGAGACAACATTGATTAGAAAAGGGAGCTGGTGGTGGGGTAGAGGAGTGGCGTGGGGAATCTTCACTGAGGGGCAGGCAGCAGAAAGGGGGAAGCCAGGGTGACTAGATGCTCTAGCTGTCCTTTTAAAGGTGATTTTGGTTTGGGGAACTTGAGGCTTTCTTCGAGGACCCCTCATCAAGGTCACTGAGAACTCAAAGGGCAAGGATTCCTTCCCACCACAACAGTAAATATTGCACAAGTCTATAGACAAATGTGGGTTTTACTGAGGGAGACAGCCACCTCTCCCGCAGGTGCTCTGAGCACCAGCGAGAGAACGCAATGCCCAAGGTTTGGCTTTTTAGTGTCAGCCCTGCAAGAACACCAGGCAGACCTGCAGAGCACGAGGCTCTCTTCCTGCAGCCCAGGAAGGCCTGCGACTCTCCCAGGCCGGCCAGAATCCTCCATGAGAGCAAAGTGTAGGTTCCCCAAACTCACTGGGTGATGTGGAGGTGCTGGGAGCCAGTTCCCCAGAGCCTCCTGGAACCCCGGGGGGACATATTGCACAGTGGTTGAGAACTCTTGGCCTGAAAAGCAGGGTAGCTTGGTGACTCAAGCAGATGAGAGACAAGAGGTGAGGAGGGCTAGGGGAGTGTTGTGCTCTTGCAATCAAGGCAGTAACGAAGGACCCGGAGTCCCAGGTAGCCTGTGAGCCACCTCTCAAAGGAGTAACATAGCAGCATCAGGACTCTCGTGTGGTTCCCCCAAAAAAGGGTTTGGCCAAAAAAAAATCCTCAATGGATACTCTTTGGGTCCCAAAAATTCCATTGCAAATCACCCCCAAAATTATTCACCATACATACACACAAAGCAGCACATCACAAAGCAAAAGATTTTGTGTAGAGTTGCCCCTCTATCCTAAAGATCTCCCAACACTGCCTTTCACACGATTTTCCCACTCAAAAAGCTTTAGATTCCTGGCTGGGAAGCAACCTCTACAGTCACCTGAGGGTAGAATGAGACATGAGACATGATTTCAAGACAAGCTGCTCAGAACAGAAAGGAATAGGGGACAACGGTCCTATCACTCTGCCCAGGATCTACACCATCAGAAAAAGAAAAGAGATTGGGCAACATAGTATTATAGTAAGTCCAGGCTTTGAATAGCTTGAAGGCCCTGAGTAAGAGAGGATCCAGGCATTGCAGATGTCCTGGTTGGGAGAGAGAATGAACTCTTCTCCCCACCCACCTATCTGTCCCCCCCCATCCCAAGGCTGAGCCTGACCTCTCAATCACAGTTGCTAACCTTGCTTGCTTCCTCTCCCAACCTCCTAGGGTGCTAGCTAAGCTTCACCCCTCAACTCTGCTAGGCCAACTCCCAACTACTCTCTAGGCAGTTACTGGCTCACAGACCCAAGCACATAATATTCTCTCCAAAGGCACCTGGGGGAGGCCACTTCCATGCAGCTCCCATTAAGGATTTTTCTTCTCTTAAAAAAAAAAAAAACTTTTGGTTTTTTTTCCCCTCTTTTCTTAAAAAAAATAATATATATCTATATAAATAGCTCTTCATTTAAAAATACAGTTCCCCAGGTTGAGGTATGGTGGCCTGTTGTCACGGCAGCATGAGTACAGTAGAGTGCCAGGGTGGGTTGGGGGCGGCCATCTAGCTGGAGACCGCCATCACGTAGTTCTTCGAGGGGCTTCTCCTGCCCAGCATCATTTGGTTCTTGCAGGTGAGAAGCCCGTAGGAGGCGGCCACCGGGGCCTCTTCGTAGAGGACACAGATGGAGCCATCCTCCCCGATGCGATAAGACACCTCATAGGGGTCCACCCACAGGGTCAGCTCGCTGGGCAGCAGCTGGTGCAGCTGGGGCTGGCTGAGTCCGATCTGGCTGGCCACCTTGCTGATGATGGGGTCCATCTTGTGGTTGATGCGGATACAGCGGTAGCCTGAGCCCTTGGCCGGCTTTTCTGGAAACCAGTGGTGTTTGTAGTGCTCTGTGGAAGTGGGACAAGGGAGAGATGCCTGGTTAGAAGGAACGTTTCAGATACTACCACCAGAGAAGAGGGAGGAGGGTGGAAGAGGGGTAAAGGAGGTTGAGGATTATAGAAAAGGAGGAGAAAGTTCTACTTGCAGTCCTCCTGAAACAATCTGCCACTTAGCACAAGATTTTAAGGAAGCTTAAAAAAGAAAAAGAAACAAAAAAAGACCCCTCCACCCTTCCCCAGACTGGCCGGTGTGTCCTGGTACTCGCCAGGGGCCAAGTGTATTGCTTTTGGCACATTCCCAGATTATGGAAGGAAGGGTGTGCCTGGGGCCGGCATGTCCAGGCAGGGCCTCTGGAGATTTCAAAAGGCCAGACGGCTGCCAGCATTGTTAGGTTCCCAATGAGACACAGGCCTCATGCCCAATACCCAGTGGGCTCCCTACCTCCTTTCAGAGTCAAGAGCCTTAGCAGGGGTGAGAGTTGAAAAATGGATTTAGATGACCAGCGTTGTTTCCCCCAAGGCGCAGCTCTTTCAGAGATGGCTATCTCTGCCCGAGATGGCAGCCAAGCAGCCAGAAACAGCTGGGAGGCAGGACGGTCCCCAGCCTCCCCGATTCACGCCTGGCCTCCCCAACACACAGCCCCCAGCACGGGCCGTGGCGTCGCGGGCTCTTCCTACCACAATAGGGGGCAGATGACTAAAAGGGGCCGAGGAGAATACATACAAAAGGGGCTTGGATTCCAACTTGGACCGAGGGCACCGCCGGCGGACGGGCAGGGCTCGGGGCAGGGCTCGGCGCAGGCCCGCACGGCGCAGGACCCGCAGCCAGGGCTCCCAATTTGGGCAGGAAGCGGAAAAAAATGCTCCCTAAAGACCCCCCCCCCTTCCCCATCCGAGGGGCTTCGGCCCCCACAGCACCCCTCAAGGATCTATCGGGGGAGAGGAGCCCTCGCTTTCATCCGCGGGGACCCCCTCTTCCGGGGTCCAAGACCGGACACTGGAAGATGAGGGTCTGGGCCCCGGGAACACCACGGACAAAGTACAGGGCTGGTGGATCGGAGCTGGCGAGGGGGTGGAGGGAAGATGGGGAATGGCAGACGGCCCGGACACTGGAGGGGGAAACTGAGTCTCAGCTCTTCCAGGGGGTGTCTCGGGCAGGAAGGGTGCCGCGCCCCGGTGGCGCCGGGGCCCCGGACGTGCGCTCACCGGTTAGTGCCTCCTGGAGCGCCCCGCTGAACACCGCGAGCCTCTGCTCGCTCACGCAGCCGCGGGTGCGCAGGAGGCTGGAGAGGAAGCCCACGGCGGCGGCGATCTCCGGGAGCATGTCGGTTCTTTTCCCGTGGCTCATGATGTCGCGGCTGCGGGAGCGGAGAGGGGGAGTCTCCCGTGGACCGAGGGTAAAGTTCGAGGACGCGTCCGCCCGGCCCTGCTGGCTTCTGCCCGCACTTTCCCCGGGACGCGCCTTTCATACCGCTCCGGGAGGCGGGGCGCAGACGGCGCGCCCATTGGCTGCCGTCAGCGGCTTGGGGGCGTGTCCTCCGCCGTCCCGCCCCGCCCCCTGCACCGCTCGCCCCGTTCCCTCCCCCCTCCCCGCGCCGCCCCCGCCTCCCGGCGCTGAGGTCATCGCCTGCTGACGTCAGTGCTGGGAACCGGCGCCGGGCTCCCCGGCCCGGCCTGGCCCGGCCCGCAGGCCCGGTGGGCGGGGAAAGCCGGGAGCCCGGGGTGGCGGAGGAAGTTGTAGGCTGACCTCCCACCCCAGGCTGGGGCCCCCGGCCACCTCCTCCGGGGAGCCTTCGCTGATGCCCACACGCGCCTCCCGTCCTCTTCGGTCACCACCGCATTTCCCAGCCGCCCACGGACCGAGCTCCGACCCGGACCCCTGGTCACCATTTCGCCCATTTGCATGTTCCTTTCCCCCGTCCTGATGGGCTGCTCTCGGTTCTTCAGCAGGGAGAACCGCGTTCTAGTTACTTCCATCACCCCCCCCCAGCCCCTCCTCCCCAGCAGCTCCTAAGATCGTCCCGCTGTCTCTGTGCGGGTCTGGGCGGCAGGTGGCCGGGCTCCTGCCCCTCGGGTCACCCCGCAGCTCCCGCTTTCCTTTACATGGCGAATATGTGCAGTGCGCTGCCCGCTCGTTGCCCATTCACTCCCTCCTCCTCCTCTCCCGCCTCCCTCTCCTTGGATAAAGCCTTTGTAAACACAGGCTTCCCAGGGCCTCCGTGGACAGCTGCTGAGTGGAGCCGACTTGTAACCTACCTTCCCCCGCCCAGCCCAGGGCCGGGCGTACTCGGAGCCCCTGTTGGTTAAATGTGTCCAACGCAGCGGCCTCTGGAAATTCCTGTTTTCCGTGAGTTCTGGGTCCTTGGGCACCTGTGGAAGCAGTTTTTGGTCCTTCCCCCCACCCCACCCCCGCAAAGCCTTCTCACCCCCTTCCTGCCTTTTCCCTGCCTAGGTCACCCCTGGGTCTCCCAAAATGAAGGATGCTGTGCCACAGCTTCTAAGATCATTCTGGGCCCCAGCTTCCAGCAAGCAGAAAGGGAAAGAGGGTGGCAGCAGCCATCAGCCTTAACCACCCCTACCCGGACTCCTGAAGGCACAGTCTTCTGGGCTTCCACCCTGAAAACGTACACTGACCATACACTTGTAAACGGATCATACAGGACATTAACTGTCACAAGAAGAGCTTGCATCTTACTTGGAAACAGGTTATGATATTCATAGATCCCTTGTTCTCAGGACAACCTAGATTGTGTGTGTGTGTGTGTGTATGTGTGTGTGCACAAGTGTGCCAGTACTGGGGCTTGAACTCAGGAGCTGGGCCCTGAACCTGAGTTTTTGTTTTGTTCTGTTTTTTTACTGAAAGCTAGTGCTCTACCACTTGAGCCACAGCTCCACTTCCAGCTTTTGATGGTTAATTGGAGGTAAGAGTCTCCCAGAGTTTGCTTCCTGGGCTGGCTTCAATCAGGATCCTCACATCTTAGCCTCCTAGTACCTAGGATTACAGGTATGAGCCACCAGTGCCTGATTAGGACAATTTAGATTTAAAATACTCTTCTCTACGGTTTCATAAGACTAATCGAAATGCTCTGTGTTTGGGCATTCAAGCTGTCCCTGAGCTTGCTTGCTCACTGGCTGCCATTCAGATGAGACCATCATCTCTTCTCCACTCATGATGGGCAATGTATACATATGAAGCAGTGACCATGGAAAAAGATAAGCCAGAGATGCATCAAAGCAAAGAAATTATGTGTCAGAAAGGCTGAAACTGACCAAGGCCAACCACCAAGGAAACCAGGCAAAATAGGTCAAAGTATAGACTGCTGATCAAGGTCATTCAAAGCCCAGCTGTGCACACTAAGCATCTTCCTGTGTGTCTTTGACAGGGATCCTGTGTTCTGGATCTGATATTCCCTAACCAGAATGGACAAAAAGTTGGTTTATTTACTTTACAAACCATCACTCCATTAGTGCTTTAAGCAATAGAACCATGGTCCTTATGTAAATTTCTGCATGGCTCACTGGGCCTCAAGTGAGTTCTCCTTATGTCTGAGCTGGACCAGGTTAGGTCCTGGGATTCCTGGGCTACAGCCACTCAAGTCCCACATGGGTCCTTGGAGCTGACATTCCACATAATGATAAGCAGGGGTGCAGGTCCAAGTGTGGGGACAAGAGTTGGCAGGGGGCCACCGCTGCCTCCTCCTTTACTATCTCTGCCTCCTCATTGGAGGGTCTGAACACCATACAGGGAGAAGAAAAGCCACAAGAAAGGGGCAGGAGGCCCCTGCTTTATTCTCATCCTTATTCCTGTCTAGCTCCAAGTCTAGGAAGAGGTACTATAATGTGTGTGTGTGTGTGTGTGTGTACAGACTCACACGCATGCACATACATGTGCAGAGGTGTCTATGTGCCTGTATTCAGGGCCTATACTCTTGCTTAGGTTTTTCTATTGAAGGCTGGCACTCTACCATTTGAACCACACTTCCACTTTCAACTTTTTTGATAACTGGAGATCAGAGTCTCACAGACTTTCCTTCCTGGGCTGGCTTTGGGCCTTGATCCTCAGATCTTTGCTTCTTAGTAACTAGGATTACTGGCATGAGCCACTGGGGCCTGGGTGAAGAAGAGTAATTTATTCCACACCCCAGGTTCCCAAGTCACAACCCAGTGCCATTGTGCCCAACTCAGGGTTCAGGTTCTTGAATCCGTTTCTCAGAAGAACAAATAGCTGACAATCATCTCAATTACTTTTGAAATTTCCTGAAGCTGCTCCCACATGGAATGGACTAGCATCCTAAGAAGCTCAGAAGTCCACATTTCCCTCCTTTTCCCACACACCTCTTGCTCACAGCCTCTGTCTCCTTGTGCAATCAAGGTGTTCTTTGGACTTTGGAGCAAGGAGAATAGGTTTTTCCCCCCTTCCCTTCTTCTTGTCCCTCTTTTTCTTCTCTTCCTCCAATTTTTCTTTCTCCCTCTACATCCCCAATGGTCCTGAGTTGAATTTTGCATATTACATGCTGATACACCTTATTTACTTGTGGCTCCACCCTCTTGCAGAGTTGTCTTAGTTGTTGCAGAGGTCTGAGCGGACTTCAGTCCCTACCAGAATTTTGGGTGAGCGGATGTGGGGGAAGCGGGGATATGTCCGTACTTGAACTCAAGGCCTCATGCTCTTGCTTAGCTTTTCCACTCAAGGCTGTTGCTCTTCTACTAGTGAGCCACAGTTCCACTTCCAGTTTTGGAGATAAGAGTCTCACAGACTTTCCTGTCCAGGCTGGCTTCAAACTGTGATCCTTAGACTTTAGCCTCCTGAGTAGCTAGGATACTAGCCATGAGTCACCTGTGCCCATCTCTATCAGAAATCTGGGTGCCATGTGACCGTAGAGACCTAATGTCTCCTCTGGACCTGGTCCACCCACCTGTATGTCCTCTTCAAGAGTGACCACTCTCCTTTGACCAAACCACTCAGAGCTAGGCCCTGTGGGACTAGCACACAAGCCTGGCTTTCTGCTCTCCCATCAGGCAGTGCTAACTGGATCATCATTATATGTGACTTCTGTGCAGCTTGCGGGGGACTTGATTTGGTTGCCAAGGTTACCGGCCAGCTTTCTGACCAGGCATGGAAAGAGAGGCCAATGAGGTTGTGTGCAGGCAGAGGCAGGGCTGAGATATTCTGAGAGGGTGACGTCAGCTCCCTCCCACTCGCTGCCTGTGTAGCTGGGTTGGTCTCTGTGTGTCACCGTGGGCAGGAGGGTGGTAAATATATTTTAATGAGTGTGTGTACTAAATGTGTGCGTACTAAAAGGTAGGTGGGCAGGAGGGAACATGGATACACATTTGTGGATGTTAAATGTGCGCCTCTTCTGCACTGCTACCGCCCGTGGCTCAGTGCAGCGAGGACGTTGCTGGGGGTGTGCTTTGGCGGTGTTTGGTACAGATGCTAACTTGATCTTTCCTCTCCTTAGGCAACACTTGTGACAGCCTTGTTGTGCTGTCCAGTGCTGATAAGAAACATCACCCAGAGGGGACCAGATGCTCCCTCATTGCTTCCTAATCAGGGTAGAAAATACTTCCCACACCTATGCATCTCCTTCCCCATCGCTTCCACCAAGCTCAGCTGCCATCCACTGGGGTCATTTTTTTTTTCATGACATTCAATAATGGAGATTAAGAGGAGAAAGTCAGACACTGGGAGCTCACATCTATAATCATAGCTACCTGGAAGGCTGCGATGGGGAGGATCATGATATGAGGCCAGCCTTGGCAGAAAAGGCCAGAATACCCCTTCTCAAGTGAGAGTTAGATGTGGTGAGATATGCCTGTCATCCTAGCTACAACTATGAGGCCCAAGCTGGTACCTGAGCAGGAAGAAAGACCCTATCTCAAAAATATCCAATACCAAACCATGCTGGAGGTGTGGCTCAGCAGTAGAGTCACCTAACTGGCAAATGTAAGATGCTGCATTCAAAACCCAGCACAATTTTTAAAAAACAGTGTTGAAGAAAATGCTCTTGTCTCTAATACCTGCTCCATGAGGACGCCAGGAAAGTAAGGATATGAACTGTTGATAAAGTTTCTGTCTTGAAACTTCCCTCAAAGGGAACTGAGAGTAGAGACAAAAATAGAGCATGCAAAGATGATTGGGGGTGGGGAGACAGGTGGAAAACTACCCATCTGGACTAAAGAAAAACTCTGGTATAACACAAATAAGCAAAGGGCTTCCTCATCCGCCTGGTCACCACGAAGTTCAAGTCCCTAAGGATCACTTTTGAGAGTCTACTGAGGGCTGGCAGTGTTTGAAGCTAGAAAGAAACCATTCTCTAGCTTGTTCTGAAGCTAGAAGCAGCTTAGAGAAATCAGCCAGACCAAAAGCCCGGAAGTCAGGCCACAGAACTTCCTGATAAGGCTGTGTTCACTAGAGGTCTGCTCCCTCCA